AAGGTTTGTTTAAACACATCTTGCTGGGCCCTACCCCTATAGGCTCAGATTCAGTAGGTCTGGGGTAGGATCCAAGAGTGAGCATTTCTAACAATTCCCCGGGGGATGCTGCTGCTGGTGGGGGACCACACCGGGAGGATGTCTGGCCCTACCCATAGAAGACGCTCAGTGTAAGAGTTGCGTACTGGCCACTGCAGGCACTTCCCAGGATTTTTAAGCCTATCTGGCTGCTTGATTTCAGAGACTAGCAACACTCATGAGATCAAGGGCCAGCTCTGCGTTTCAAGGCCCCAGCCTTCCAGATTGTCCCAGAGGCTTCGAGTGGCTGGGTCACTGGTGCTCAGCTGAAGCACACAGAGAGATTCAGAAATATTTTTGGAAAGAAAATCCACGATGGAGGAGGAAAATACGACAGCGTTTGGATAGTTTTCAGTGAAAAGCAATGAGAAACATCTGAATCAAATTGCCTTTAAAATTACACCGTTTTAAAAATTAAGGGGGAAAAAAACTCTGGGCCAAAATGTATTTTTTAAGATTTATGGCTTCCAAAGTGTTAGCACAACAGCTAAAGAGGCTGGGAAAGAACCCACCCTCACGGCTTCTGCCATCCACTCTCATGAGCTGCTCCCACCAAATGATTAAAGTAACCTTTCCCAGTCTGACCACAGGGCTGCTTTTTCCTTTGGCCAGGCCCAGCCCAGCCCTGCCCTGCTCTGCAAAGGTGTTTCTGACGCATGTTTTGGCTCAGGGAGGTGGAGACTGAGTGGAAACACCCAGGCCCCCGCAGGTCCAGCCTCATAGATTCCTAAGGGAGGCCATTTGAGCCAGCTGACTTTGCAAATAAATAAGTCATGGCCCCAGACCTCAAAGAACTGGCTGTCTGGAAGACACAGGTGCTGTCAGCCCCTGGGACAGATGAGGAAACTGAGGCACAGTTAACACGAGGAGACCTTTCCAAGGCTGTATACTTACCCCAGAGTATCAGTAGGGCCCAAATTAAGGCCCAGATCACCCCCAACCAATCTAAATAACAACCCACAGGCAAGAGACACCATGTAAGAGGCAGGAGCCCCAAGTGTTAACACGAGGAGACCTTTCCAAGGCTGTATACTTACCCCAGAGTATCAGTAGGGCCCAAAATAAGGCCCAGATCACCCCCAACCAATCTAAATAACAACCCACAGGCAAGAGACACCATGTAAGAGGCAGGAGCCCCAAGTCCTAGGACCAGCTCTGTTGAAGCAGCTGGTGACCTTGGGCATGTCTCATTCATTCCCACCTTGGCCTCAGTCTCATCTACAAATTGAAAGGTATTGAAGGAGAGGCTCTGACCACTCATGAATTAGCCATGCTGCCACTCCAGCCTAATGCTCAGGAGCTCCTGCCAGGGTTTCCCAAGCTTTGCACCAGGACCCCCTGTCCTCACTCTGGACCCTCACTCTCCTCATTCCTAATGGGGCTTCAGTTCAGTTGCACCCTACTTTTTTCACTTAATATTAGAACACAGGCATGGCCCCCTTTGCATGATTATAATCTTGATAAACATTTTCAATGGCTACATAACATTTCATTCAAGATGCTGCACTGTTTGGTGAATCAATCCCCTACCACTGAACAGTTAGGCTGTTTCCAATTTTTTACAGATATAAACAATGAGGAAATGAAATCATTCTGCCTAAATGTAAGCTCACTATTAGAACCAACCGAGGTCATACAATTGTGGTGGTGAAGTAGAAGCACCCGGAACTGGTGACAGCTGGGAAGAAGGCTGAGTGAGGAGCCAGAAGCTGGCCTGAATACAGGGTGTCCCCCATGTCTCGACACCTTACGCCGGTGAACACAGCCCCTTCCTGCTTGTAGGATGTGGCCCTTTCCTCATTACAGCCCATTCCTCACCACTGTGCCACTGACATCCTCAGACAGGACCCACACCACCCCTCCACGGATGTGTTACAAGCCAGCAAACACTAGGCTGTCTAAACTATCCCTTCCTGCCAAACAGCTACAGATCATGGTGCAGACCATTCAGATAACATCACGGGCTCTGAAGGAATAAACTGGGCCTTGGAGGAGCCAGGCATCTGAGTGGTCACTGTGCAGCCCAGGGAAGTAGAACAGCCACACTCTTGCCCCCAGCAAACAGGCCTCGGACAAGCCCTCCCAGCCTGGAACGGTGACTCCATCTTTTCCAGAAACAACTCAAGAAAAGGAGCCTCTCAACAAGCAGTTCCCAACTCCCTGACCCTTCCTGTGGCCCAGCGTGCACCTGCCATACTGTCCCTCTCCTGGGCCTTTGTGCAGCCCCCAACAGCCCCTCCCACCCACTGTCCACACCCAGCCCTGTGCCTGTAGGCTGAGCGCCCAATTTCTCATGCTGCTGGCCCCACGGAGCCATGCACTTCAGCCTCACTCCTCACCAACCCCACACTTTCTCTTATACCACTCAGGTCCACAGGAGACCCTTGGTGCCCCTCATACCAGCAGGCCCAGCACCAAATGCTGAGCCCCAGGGCTAAGCACAAGAGCGTCCCTGCCCCCGAGGGGACCCATGCCAACCACCTGCTGCTGCTGGGCACCTCCCATACATTCACCTCGCCTGCAGACAAGTCCTACGGGCAGCAAGGCCCACATTAGAGGCTCTTTGGAGCCTTCTGGGCCTCGGTTTGCTGAGTACATGAGGATTCTCACTCACAACATCTCTGCCACCATCTGGTAACATTTAAGGAAGACCCAGTGTCCCAAGATCATAAAGACTATGGCTAACATCTGTCAAACGCCTTCATGACACAGATTAGGAAAACTAGGGCCCAGGCCAGCGCCCTGTGGGCCACACCATTGGGCATCCCTCCCCTCATCCATGAATGCAGCAGCCACAGTTCACCAGCACTGGGAGACCTGCCCCAAGATGCCCCTGCTTCACTCCATGCAGGAACAGCTGCTCTTTTCTGCCTCCAGAAGGGCCCTTCCCAAATAAGCTGCTCAGAGAGAGGTGCTGGGGGCTGCGATGGGACAGGAAGCTCTGGGGTCCCTGAGACTCTCCAGCAGCAGATACACCTTGCTCTAGAGTGCTCTGAGGCCAACAAGCTGCCTGCCCCGAGGCCTACAGGCTGCCTGCCCTGTGGCAGCTGGCATCAGCCAAGCTCCCCTGTGTCAGATAACAGGGCGCAGAGGGCCTACAGAAGAGGGCAGGGAGGCATCTTGGGGTGGAGGTGAGGGGGGAGAGTGGGGTGGTGTGTGCCTCCATGGAGCTGCTATACTCCAAGCTTTGCACCTGCTGCCTGCCTGCCCCCAGATCAAGAATCCCTCAGCATCTGTTGTTACTGCACCAACGGCGATAACCAGGTCTGAGACTAAAGGGGCTCTCCCTGCCCCGATTACATCCTAATTACGGTCTAATTACTGCCTAAGTGTGTTCACCACTGCTGTTGCTCGGCAGTAAATCGCACCGTGGTGGTTCAGGATCCATTCACAGCTTCCGAGAGGTAGGCAGGCAGAAGGGGGTCCTGCTGAGGACCCTGGGGCAGGCCAGATACATGGGAGGCCAGGCTTCCTGGAGCTCACTTGGGCCTCAGAACATCAGGCAGAGAAACAGCCTGAGACGTCACCACAGGCAGGGCAGGCTTTGACCCAGAGGAAGGAATAGACCACACGGCCCTGGGACCAGGCAGCCAGGCCTCACAGCCTCCTCTCCCCTCCAATCTTCCCACCCTGGGTGATGGGCTACTCTCAGCTTTGGCTCCTCTCCCGCCACCTAAGAGCTCTTCCTCCACCCGTCCCCACTCCCCACCGGCCCCACCTCACAGACCTGGAGAGCCCCTGTCCAAAGGGTCACAGTCCAGGTCAGAGGCCCACTTCTCTGCAGGAACCTGAAGGTTGACCTCAGATCCCCCTTTCCTGACTTGGCCACACATCCTGATCATGACCTCCAACTTAGAATCACAGGTAAAATAAAAATAAATACAATAACAACGACCTAGAGGTCCTCAAGTCCACTCTTAGAAATACTGATTCACACTCCCCTTCTAGGGTCTTCCCGTTTCTCTGGGCTCAGGCCCCAGGCTTTGCCCAGTGTGGCCCGTGGACCAGCAGCATCAGCACCGTCTCAGTGCTGGACAGAAATGCAGAACTCAACCCTGCCCTGACTTCCTGAGTTGAGGTCTACACTTTGACAAGCCCCCACGGTTGGGTGTGCATCAATGTGAGGGGCGCGCCCGCACGCCCACCCCGCGAGGGCGTCTTTTCTTCCCTTCCTGCTCTCTGAGCTGCGCTTCAACAGTGAGAGCAACAGGGCATGACTAAATGCGCTTGAATAAAAAGGGGGAGAAAAGAAATCCAAGTCTCTCCATTCCTCAGGGACAGAAATAGCTCTGTGGCCTCCAGATGGACTGCGCAGACACAAGGGGAGGTCTCGCCTTCCCGCCAAACCTTCCCAACAGGACGCTGGCACGGGCCAGTGGAAACCATAGAGCATTTCTCTTTGGGGCAGTAAAATGAGAGGCTATGGCTCATGTAGTCCCTTCTGTTATAATTAAGTTGGCCAGAAATTCACCTAAGATACTAAATTCCATACCTGACCCTCTAATTATAGCCAGAAGGCATCAGGAGACAATTACTTTCCAAAATAGTCCTTGGCGGGCAAGACACTAGAAGAAGTTCTGTGGGCACATCGGGAACGTGCCAGCAGAACGCACCCCAGGGCTGCCCAGCAGCCACCACCCGGCTCCTCTCCTCCCTTCCCTCTCCCCATGCTCAGGCCCCACCCTCCAGAGTCTGAGCCAGCCCAGCCCCCACACCCCAGGTCTGGGGTGGCCAGACCTCCTAGAAAACCTGCAGGCGACTGTCACAGTGCCTGGGATTCCCGGGGGCAGGGGTGCCCTCCTCTTGCCCCTCCATAAACCCAGCATGCCTCCCTGATGACTTCGGCCACCACTCTAATTAAAACCTAACGGGCTAATGAAAAACACCCCTGCTGCTCTCCAAGTGTGCAAAACAGAAAGTACCTCCTTGGGCAGCTACAGCTGCTGCCGCTGCGGCCACCGCAAGAGGAGAGGCCTTTTTGCCCGGGTCGGGGAAACTGGTACTGTCCAGGATCCCACTTTTGGCTTCTTGCTTCTCCACGGCAGTAGCTGAGGCGGACGTCTCCATTTTAGGCGCTCATAGTCCTGGGTGGCAACCCTGAAGGAGAAGACAAAGACACTCACCAACACTGTACCCAAACCCAGCCGGGAAACGCCGACCCAGATTCACGCCACCGCTCGCTTCTAAAGCAACTAACTTCTTTCCCATTCTCTTATAACTGGGAAGGAGGCTTTAATTAATTTTGAAAATTATTAGTCCTGAGATTCATCTGGTCTTCTGAACGACCTCATGGACAACAGCCAAGCATTTTTGTTGTGTTTTACCCAGACTTTTAAAATCTAAACAACAAGTTCCCCCTGATATGAGCGGCAAGTAGCAAAAAGAACTACCTTGAGAAATGAAGGCAGAAGTAACGACATCCAGCTTAGAATCATGGGGACTATAAAAACACATACAGTAACCACAACCTAGAGGTCTTCAGAAAGGACCTATTTTTCCTTTCACTTCCCTGCTCATCAGAGCCTGTCCTTTATTCACCTGTATGTTCGTTCATTCACTCGCCCGATCATTTGACACACTGTCATCATTTATTGGTTCACATGTAGTCAACATATTTTTAAGCCCCTCTTATGCATCAGGCGTCACACCTGGTGCTGAAGGTATACTACACGGAGTTTACATTCTACTTAGGAGATGAATAAATAAGAAAATAAATGTAGATTGAATTCCAGTTAGTGGGAGGTAGCAAGAGAAAAGAAAGCTGAGTAGCAGGCTAGAGAAGGGCTGGAGGGGCAGAAAGGGACGTGCGAGGGGCCACCCCTGTGAAGGTCTGAGAGCCCACGGCAGCCAGAGTATGAGGCAGGAGCCCACGGCCCAGTGGGAGCAGGCTGGCTTCTTTGAGGAGAGGAGAGAAGGGGACTGCAGGCACTGGAGGGTTTTGAGAGAGGAGGGGCAGGATGTGACTCAGGCTGTAAAGGGATCACACCTCTGAGGTGGAGAGCAGACTTCTGGGGGAGAGGATGCTCCTGCAACAACCCAGGGAACTATGATGGTGGTTCGGGTTAAAGCGGTGGCGGTGGAGCCAGCAAAACATGAGCACGTTCTGAAGAGCCCACAGACCTCGCCCCTGGCTGGATGTGAGGGGGAATGGAAAGAGGCGTGGCTGTGGTCAAGGGAGGAGCCCCCAGAGGGATGCGGGGCACAGGTGACATTCTGTCTCCAGCTGGGTGGTAGATCGGAAGCAAGTGTTTTAATACGCTTCATCACTGGCGGACACTGCTAATAGCTCATTTGTATCAAATATCACTGAATAGAAATTTGAAAGTCACATTTTTAAAAAGAAGGTGGGTGGTGTCAGGATGGCTCATATTTTTGGCTGAGCACGCGGCTGAATGCATGGCGGTGCTGTTTAATGAGTTGAAGCAGGGGAGTGAGGAGCAGGTTCAGGGCAGAAATCAGGAGCTCCATTTGGGTCACGGACTCACGCCACGTGAAGTTTGAGATGCCCATGGAGACCTGCCGAGATGGTGTGGAGGAGACTGTTGGGGACACACATCCGGAGCTCGGGGAGAGCTACAGGCTAGAGGTGGGAGTATGGAGCCGCTGGGCAAGAGCTCACAGGAAAGGGGGAGGGTGGAGAAGAAGAGAAAGTTCCAGCACTGAGACATGGGAGAAAGAGCACAAGCCAGCCAAGGAGAGTGAGCAGAACAGCCAGGGAGGGAAAGCTAAGAGGAAAAAAAAAAAAAAAAAAGAGCATGGGGTCCTGGAAGCCAACTCAAGAAAGAAATGCTCTCTGGAGGAGGAGTGATCGGATCCATCACAAGCCACTGAGAGACTGAGAAGATGAGTTGAGGCCTCGGGGCCAGGAGCTGAGCAATTTCAGCCACACGGTGGGGGCAGGGATGGAGGTGAAGGGGTCTGGGAGGGGGAGTGGAAATGGGGGCACAAGGCAGTCCTGTCAGGAGATTTTGCTATCAAAGAAGCAGAGGGATGGGGCCACAATCGGAAGGGGATGTGGGGTCCAGAGGTTCATGGTTGCTGTGTATGAAAGGATGCACATGCGGTTTGCAGGCCCCTAAAAGGGGACAACTCATGGACTGCAGTGAGCAGACACCAAAGGCAGTGGCCAGCACTGTCCCAGGGGCCTCGAAGCTAAGTCCACATCAACAGGCCCTAGAATCTTATTTTTTAATTCCACCCAATACTCCCACATCCTTCTAAGAAAAATTTTTTTAAGTTTTCTAAGAAAATTGAAGTACTGTCTGCAAGAACAATAGAGTAAGGTGGTCCACAGTCCCCACTGGCTCCTGGTTTCATCTGCACATACAAGCCTGTCTAGTTTCCATGATCTTTCAAGACTCCCTGCCCAGAAAACCCAAGAAAGTCAGGCAGATAGGGGAGAGAAAAATCTCCTTGAGGACTTTGGTGAGTTATGGGGTTCCTTTTGGTCTAGAGATTCAGGGATCACTGTCTGCTCCTTTAAGACCATTTTTAAAATCTGTTTCTTAAGACTTTGGCTATCTGAATGGCCACCAGCAACATACTCGGCCCATACCTGCTTCTCCTTGGCCCCCATAGCTGGGTCACAGGCACCACCCCACCCAGCTACCTAGGCTGTACCTTCAGGTCACCTCCTCCCCACCTTTATCCCCTACATTCAATCAGCTGCGATCTCCATCACTTCATCCCAGAGCACCTCGCCCACACTGCCTGTCCTGGCTGGCTGTTCTGCACCAGGCGTTTCTCCCTTCTGGGTCCTGGGCACTTCCCACAACCTCTGGTCCTCCCCCACATCATCCCCTACTCTACAGCCAAGCATCTTCCCCAAAACCAAGTCTCGCCCCTTCCCTCCTCTGACCACGGTCCTGCTGAGCCTCTTTGGCCTTTCTCCCTGTGTCGACCTGCAAGCCAGGAATGACTGGCTCTGTCCCTGCACCACCATGCCGTGTCACCCACTGGAAACACTTCACCCATTCTGTGTTTGATGAACTCCTATTCTTCCTTCAAGACGCCACTCAGACGTCACTGTCCCCAGGAAGTCTGCTGCCCCTCCCAGCCCATGGTCAGAGCCCTGCAGCAGTCAGATTGTGCAGCCACCCAACACCCCCTTATTGTATTCATCATCACCTCCAGGTCAGGAGCTGTTCAGTACAGCATCCACATGGCCCAGCCCAGCCTAGGCTGGCATGGCACAACTGCTCAGAAATGCCTGTCAAAGAAAGCCATGAGTGAAACTTTGAGGCAGAAAATCACAGCTCCTTTAAATCCAAGTGACTTTGTGGACAGCCTGGGTTTCCCTCCCAACAAGCTCAGGTGAGGGAATTTAGGCCCAACTTTGAAACAGACCTTGAATTTGGAAATAGGACAGAAACCAAAATAACAGCTACAACACCAAACCTTTAACAAGTGTTTAATGGGTGCCAAGCACTTTACAGGGGTGAGCTCATTTAATCCTCAAAACATTTTCTATAGAAGGAAACGAGTACACAGAGAAATTGAATAACTTGCCCAAAGACACACACCTTAGAAGTGGCTGTGCCAGGCCTTGAACCCAGGCTGTCTGGCTCCAGAGCTGCATTCCCATGCACCATAGTGAGCTGTCCCTTGAGTAAGGACCTGCACTGCAAAGGGATTTGCCCCAGAATTCCTTGGAAGGCACTGATGATCAGCTTCATGCCTCCCACTGAGCTGACAAGGCTAGCAGAATTCCTCACACACACACACCCCAAATGAATTGAGTGTCTTTCCTTTGGGTTCAGACACCCCCCTGTGGCACCTCTCACACAGCCTAGCCATACCTGCTCTGTGCCCCTCTGGGTCCCTGCTCGACTGTGACCTCTTTTAGGAAAGGGCTTGGCCTTGCACCCCTGGGTCCCTAGGTCCAGCCAAGCAGGTGCTTAGACCACTTGCTGAGGGGATAAGGTAGGCACAGGGAGCCAGGCTTGTGCCAGGGGGACTTGGGGCTCTGTGGAGCAGAAACCAGCAGAGGATACGAGGTGCCCCCAGGAGCAGAGCATGCTACCAAACGCCAGGATTTAAACCCCAGCCCAAGCCCCAGGAAGGCGTGGGCAGGCTCTTGGGAGGTATCAGTCCAACTGTCTACAAATGCAGATAGGGAAACTGAGGCCCAACAGCTCAAAACCCCCAAACTTTAGTGTCAAAAATGCCAAGAAAGGAAAAAGGCTTCAGAAGGGGCTGTGACAACTTCTGTTAGGGACATAAGCAGACTGGAAAGAAGAGGAAAAAGCTAGGAATGTTTCTAGTAACAGCATACTATAGTCTAAATGTTTTGTGTCCCTCCCAAATCGATACGTTGAAACCTAACCCCCATGGTAATGGTATTAAGAGGCAGGGTCTTTGGGAGGTGGTTGGATCATGGAAACAGAGTCCTCATGGGATTAGTGCCCTTAAAAAAGAGGCTTGAGGGAGTCTTTTTGCCCCTTCCATCGCGTGAGAACACACAGAAGACCATCTATGAGGAATAGGCTCTTTCCAGACACTGAACCTGCCGGAACCTTGATCTTGGACTCCCCAGCCTCTAGAACTGTGATAAATAAAGTTCTGCTGTTCATAAACTATCCAGTCTATGGTATTTTGTTACAGTGGCCCAAACCGACTAAGACACAGCAGCTGCAGTCCCTCACGCCAACATCCTGCCCTGTTATGCTGGCAGAGCAGACGCCATCGCCCAATTCTTACAGACCAGGAAGCTGAGGCTCCCGTAGGAAGTGAGCTGCCCACGCAGCTTCCCACGAGGGACAAGGGCCAGGTCTCCATCAGACCCACGGCTGAAATGCCTCCCAAGGCCTTAGGGTGTGGCCACCACAGGAACAGAGTGCAAGGAGTATGGGGAGGGGGTATTTATTCAGATTCCCACACTCAGACTGGGTGGCTCGGGGAATAGATGTGCACATAGGAGCACCTGGGGTCCCAAGAGCACCCAGGGGGAGCTGATCCGGCAGGGACCCAGGCAGTGCCCACCACATCCCTGGCCTCGCCTTCCAGAGATCAGCTGCTGCCCTTCCCTGCCCACCCCTTACCAGAGAGGAAGGCAGTAGACAGAGCCAAGAGGCTGCATAAATCACGGGAATTAGCAG